TTAAGGTCAATGCCAATCGATCAAACATTTGACTAACATTCAACCGATCGATTCATCCGATCCGTGATCGGCACGAATCACACTGGATTTGATATTTACAGGAAATTTTCAATAGCGTGTTACGAATGTCTTCGTACATCCTGTCTTACACGTGTGCGATAATTTAGTATTCGTACTTATATGCTTATCAGAATCTTTGTTGACACGTGTGTTCGCGTTATGGAAAAAATAACGCGAGGACAAGTAGAAATTTTTGATACAACGCGGTAATAGATATATGAAATCATAATGTAAAAATTTCCAATTCTTATTTACATCGTTCGAAAATATTTTTTCTAAATCAATTTCAGGCAAAATTTCATAATTTGATGAATTATAGCATTTACTTTTTTTTTTTTTTGAATATATTTTTTGCGAGATACATCTCTTATATCCATATATTATCCCTCATTAAATTTCCCTGATTTTTAACACATTTTGAAATGCACACTGGCAATTATTCCAAGGATTTTCGTAAGCTCATGGGAATTTCGTGATTCGCATTTTCGTGATCAAGTACAACTATAAGAATCAGAGATGTGCAAGGTAAAGATTTCTCGCGCGGAAATAGATAGCGCTCAAGGATCTGTTTCTATCCTTCGAGCATTTCATTTCTGTGTGAAAAGAAATACGCAGGATTTTCTTATCGTCGTGCATTAATCCGCTCGACTCGATAATCAAGTTGCAACCTCGAGTCGGAGTTGTTATTTTTCGAATAGGAAGCGACCGTTTCCGTGTGCGCAGATACACGCGAGAAAGAAAACGCAAGGAAAACAGCGGAGAAGAAATCTATGGAAGCGAGTGAGCCTGAGCGTCTTTTATTCTTATTTTCTGACTGGCGCCAACTGATCGTCGTCATATCGGATCCGTGCAATTAAAGATTCAATTTCGCCTGAAATTATGGTTATCCAGACTGGGGAAAACGACGTGTTATTACAGGTTTGTTCTGCCTGCTCTGTTCTTCTTTTGCTGATGACTTTTTTTGATTTTCAGGTAAAAATAAAAGAAAAAAAGAACAAAGAAGAAAAAAAATAAAAAATGTTCACTGAACATTTGTCGAATATTATTTTTCGTGATGGGAATAATTAAAACGTAATTGAAATAAAAGTATGATATATTTCTGAGGCAAAAGATGCATTTTTCGTAAAAGCAAAGATAATAATAGTAGTAATAAGCTTTTGAATTTAGGATCACGATATTGGAATCGTACTGATCTGAAACTTTCGATCGGATATTATCCATCGTATATACCGATACGAATCGGAGCTGGATAGATTAACAAGTTTTAATAACATTGTTAGAAAGGTAGAATGCTTTTATGGAGTACAACAACGGTAACCACGAGGTATCAATCTTCTCGCATTGCATAAATTAACTTTGCACCACGATTGAATGCGATGCAAGTTGAAAGGAGATTCATCGTATGCAAATTGACGATCGATTGTCGAGAACCGTAGGGTGAATTATACCCATGTTGGCCTGCGTTATGGCTGACAAAGGCACGGCTGGTACGGCTATCATCCGAATGCTTTACGAGCCGACGTAATAATCAAACGATCCAGAAAGTTGCAGCTTACAAGTTACAATCATTTATACACGTGCATACTCGTTATATTCGTTCGAAAATATTAAATTGAAGTTCCGTTTTATTATGAAGTGTGATATATACATGCAATCTTCTTCACTGTATCTATTGTATCGATTATTGTATCAATTTTAATCGATCGATTTTGATAATTGATACTACGCTTCGCGCCAATTTTTGACCATTAGAAATATTTTAAATCGGGATACAGAATTTATTTAACCGGTTATATTTAAGATATTTTTCTATTTGATTTGTATACATAATAATAAACGGTAATTAATTAAGATAATTCGTAATACAGGTTGCGGCAAGGCCATCGATAGGCCACGCGAACGGCAGCACGGTCAGCAAGGTAAATAACAAGAGACGACGATGGCATCTTCAGTCCGGCAATTATATCGAAGCGAAAGGTGGATACTTTTGATCGAACCTTGAACGTTCGCGTGAAGCGATTTTCTCGCGATGCACGATGCTCATCGCGTATCCATATATACTCGGTTGCACAACCAGTCCGGAAACGCTTTATTGATGGTTAATTGTTTGCATTGTTATCTTGCGTCGACATAACGGTTATGGAAATTCTACGGAAAAAAACGAAATTGCCTTTCTAACTAAATCGTGAGCTCTTGGATTTCAATTTCTGTTGTAATTTTGATTGGTTAAATATTTTCCTCACGTTGATTAATTTTAATGAAGTCTAATTGTCTAATCGTTGACATTGGTTTATTAAGATGTGCGATCGACGTCGTTGATGGCTTTTTAATCAGCTTTATAAATAATTAATCTATGATTATCTGTGTATTGCATATACATTTCATTTGTTGATATTTTTTTTATTTAAATTCTCATAAAATAGAAAAAAAAAAAAA